GGTTCCTAGATCTGCGTCCTCGACCAGGTCAGGCGCAGGAGGCAGAGGGGGCACGTGCTCCCGTGCTCTGTTCAGGCCGCTGCCACTGATGGGGCGGGAGCTGTGGGCAGTGCCAGCCCTGGTGGCCATTCAAGTCTCCTGAGCCCAGGTGGCTGCCCGGCACCCAGACCACAGGGAGGCTGGTCCCACGGCATTCCCCATCCTGACTCCCTGTGGACGGCCCAGAGTCAGTCCTCATCCCAAGGCCCTCCCTGGAGCCCCCTGGACCCACAGGGTGTGGGGACCCCCGGGAGCAGTGCCAGGGCCTCCCTGACGTGATGGGTGTTCTGTGGGCCGCAGCCCCCGCGCCGCAAAGCTCGCTGGGTAAGGACACTAACTGACGCGCCAGGGCCCGTCCAGGTCTAAGCCAAGCGCCGTCCCACCTGCCATTTCCCTTTGCAATCACCTCCTCGGGACACACAGAACCAGCTCTGTCCCAGCGGGCGGAAGCCCGTCTTACCGCAGGACCGTGCGTCCCTGGAGCGTGCCAGCTCCTGACACGCCATTTTTACTTATTTTTTAAAATATATTTTTATTGCCGAAACCGGTTTGGCTCAGTGGATAGAGCGTCGGCCTGCGGACTGAAGGGTCCCGGGTTCGATTCCGGTCAAGGGCATGTACCTTGGTTGCGGGCACATCCCCAGTGGGAGATGTGCAGGAGGCAGCTGATCGATGTTTCTCTCTCATCGATGTTTCTGGCTCTCTCTCTCTCTCCCTTCCTCTCCGTAAAAAATCAATAAAATATATTTTAAAAAATATATATATATATTTTTATTGATTTCAGAGAGGAAGGGAGAGGGAGATAGAAACATCAATGATGAGAGAGAATCATGGATCGGCTGCCTCCTGCACGCCCCACACGAGGGATCGGGCCCACAACCTGGGCCTGTGCCCTGACCGGGAATCGAACCGTGACCTCCTGGTTCATAGGTCGGTGCTCATCCATTGAGCCACGCCGGCCGGGTGACATGCCATTTTTAAAGCACAAAAACAAGCTCCCTTTCGGGCTGGATGACCAGGCGCAGTGGTACACTGTGTGCAGGAGAGTCCCAGGGTGCACTGCACATGCTCCCACTGGGGCCTGGCGCCGGGGGCTTCCCCAGAAGGGCTGAGCGTGCCAGTGACCGCACACCCAGCAGCCAGGGCCCTGAACGCAGGCTCTTCCCAAGCCTGCCCACCCCCAGCCCACAGTTTCCTGAGCACCACGTGTGCCAGGCCCGTGCCCACACCGTACAAGGGGTGGACCTGCTTAGCGTCAGGCCCCCACAGCAGGCGCATAGCAGGCGCACAGCAGGCACACAACAGTTATATAGTAGGCGCATAGCCGGCACACAGGAGGTATACAGTAGGCACACAGCAGGTGCACAGGAGGTATACAGCAGGTGCACAGCAGGCTGCCACAGTGCTGGGAACAGCGACACCTTAGCTAGGAATGGGGCAGTGAGCAGCGGCTGTGGTTTCGCCTGGGAACGTGTTGACACTCACAGGCAGGCCTTTAATCGGTCTCTTCTGAGGGTTCCCTCCACTATGGAGTGGCCGCACAGTCCCCTAGCAGGTCTGCAGGGGCCGAGGCGGGCAGCAGGCACCCCTCTTTTCCCTGAGTCCCAGCAGGGCACTGAGGAGCAGGCAGAGCCCATGACGCCGGCAGGCCGGGTGAGGGGCCTGGGGCAGACCTCGGGCCCGTGGCCTCTGGCTGTCACGGTGGGGGGTGGTCTCTCATGCGTGGGGCCACGGCTGAGCCTGCAAATTTGTCTTCACTCCTGGAGGGGCCAGGGGCAGGCCAAGCAGGGAGGCCGAGCTGCCGGGAGTGGCTCTGCTGAGGCAGGTTGGGGCAGGGCAGCAGGCTTTCCCACGGCTGCCACCAGCTGCAGGCCTGGGTGCCTCCACCGGCCTCCCCACCCGTGACAGGGACAGCGGCCTGGCTGCTGCCCCGCATGATCAGTCAGGTGACGCATCCCTGGGCTGTGCCCGGCCGCCCCCGCTGTCTAGGGAAGCCCCATAGGAACAGTGAGGCCCACTGACTGGGGCCTTGGGCGCCTGTGGGGACTGCACGGGGGATGAGGACCCATGAGATCCGCTGGGACGAGAGCTGGGTCACTGTCAAGGCCGGGCACGGCTCGATGCCCTGGTCCGAGAATGCTCTGGAATCCGCCTCCCCCTGCCCAGGTGCTGCCCTGCGCTCACAGCAGCCCTCCATGCCCAGGAGCCCAGAGATCCTGCCGTTACCCTTGGCAACATGCTGACGCAAATGCCAGCGGGCGGGTTGGGGGCTGTGGCTCCTCTGCTGGGCTGGGGGAGGGGGAACCAGGCCCCGGAGCCAGCCGAGTGGGGGTTGAAGAGCTCTGAGCTCCGTGTCTCGGGGGCCCCCAGCCTCCTTTGGTTTCTGCAAATATCAGTGTGGCCTGTTCTTGGCTGCCTCGCCCTCCAAAGGGAGAAGGAGACAGGAGACGGCAGGGGTGGCAGCCCTGCCCAGGCCGAGGCGGCAGGCGGAGGGGGCAGGGGC